ACGACAGAGGACGAGATGGATGGACAGTGCCGTTGAAGCTGTCAAATTCACCAACAAGAATTTGACCAAACTCCAGAAGGCAGTGGAAGGCAGGAGGATCTGGCATGCTCTGGTCCATGGGGTTACGAAGAATTGGACACAACTTAATGACTAAACAACAACAACAAAGAAAAATGGTTCCAGAGTTGCATAGGCAGAATCATTGCTAATAGTGGGAAAGTATGGTGGGAGAAGGGGTTTGATAGATAGATAGATAGATAGATAGATAGATAGATAGATAGATAGATAGATAGATAGATAGATAGATAGATAGATAGATAGATAGATAGATAGTTGAAGCTGTCAAAATCACCAACATGAATTTGACCAAACTCCAGAAGGCAGTGGAAGGCAGGAGGATCTGGCATGCTCTGGTCCATGGGGTTACGAAGAGTTGGACACAACTTAATGACTAAACAACAACAACAAAGAAAAATGGTTCCAGAGTTGCATAGGCAGAATCATTGCTAATATTGGGAAAGTATGGTGGGAGAAGGGGTTTTACTGATAGATAGATTTTCCTGAAAGACAATCCAACAGGAACTTGACAATATTTTTTCCTTTGGAGGAGGCAAATTATTTCATATTATTTCTATAGAGAAATAAACATTCTTCATGCACAAAAACCTGTTGTAACTGTATTCTCAAATTGGACTTTGTTCCTGAAAGACAATCCAACAGGAACTTGAGGCATAAGAGAATAAAGAGTGGTCTGGTAGTCCAGATAGGCGTGGTATAAATCAAATAAATAATAATAAATAATAAGATCAACAAACCACAAGGGGGAAGATGTAACTCTGAGGCACAACATAACATATTCCTGAAGAACGATTTTCACATAATTAAATAATAAGATCAACAAATCAGAAGCGGGAGGATGTAACTCTGAGGCACAACATGACATATTCCTGAAGAACGATTTTCACATAAGATAACAACAGGCAGACCTGTCAGTTTGTCACTGCAACCTCAGTAGCTTTTGACAGGCTAACCTTGACGTACTTACAGTCAAGACACAAACAATGTGGATGCAAATGGAATATTTACTTCATACTCATGACATATGGTGATGCTGTTGTTTCAAAAAGAACTTTAAATAACTATCTTATAAACAAACAACATTGATAATGATAATGACATGGAACTTTGGAAGCAATCAATCAATCAATCAGGAAGTTTGGTATTACTTTGGCGTTAGAAACTTAAGAAATCTTTCTCTTAAAATCATTATTAGCTAAACAGCTCTGGGAGTTAAACTTGTTATGTTATGGCTATCTACAATGTTGGTGGAAAGCCCAGAAATATGACCTTGAACATTCTATGGAGGTTCTAAACTTGGAATTTGTTTTCATTTCCTTTTTTTCCTGAGGACCGACTGAAGCATAGACAACCCTGGAAAGTCTAATCCTGCCAAAGTCGAAATTTAAACACTACTTTGGGATGTAGGGGGACAACTGAGCTCTGATAAAAGACAATTCATCTTGGAAGTTCATCTTGGCTAACGTGGACAATGGAGGTCCAATAAAGACATTTGGATTTATCCTGGGTTCTGAACCTGACTGGAGCACAGACCGAGATGGAACTAATACTGCAATGGACTACCTCTAGGGCTCGATTATAAAAGACTTCAGGCCATGAATACAAACATTGAGTGAACTGGACTGTGATATTTGGTGAGCAAATGTCATTGAGCCTCTAAGCAGGGAAAACTTTTCACATCTGAGATTTTAACACTAAAGATGATCTAGCTATTAAAGTGGATTTATTGAAGCAATTATTGATGAAATTGAACTGATTACTTTAAGCAATTGGACAACTTTTAGTTGAAATACAATCATCTGATATCTCAGGTCATAATGTCACAACAAGGAAAAATTTGGGATGAAACAAAATCTATTCTTCAAGCAATTTTAGAAATAATGAGATCCCACAACAAAGAGGCAAAATTATTCAATGAGCAGCTAAGGATGGACTATATTCAACAGAAGACAGGGAATAATGAACAAGAAAATGTCGGGGTGGTGGATGATGTGTGCCAATCAAAGGAGGGGTTGGAGGAAATTGGAGGAGAAAATGTAGGAGATCTAATTCTAACCTTGGAGTTGAAGGGAGTCTTAGATGTGCTAAGGGGAGAGAACCAGCAGATTTAATTAAAAACAGCCTATTGGAGATAGATCAAGTACATAGAATGATCTCAGGTGGTACAAGGAAAGGCAGAATTTTTAGAGAGATAGGAATAAGAATTGGGAAAAGACAAACTAGAGACGGAGTTACTTAGAAAGATGTAAAGGAAAAAATATTAAGGCGCCCTCAAGGTTGAAAGCATGTTTACACCTAAGTTCTGGAATTGTAAGGGGACATATCTTATATATTAGAAAAGGGAATCAATCTGAAATAAGGGATCACTAATCAGGGTATAGGCATAACAAGGTGGCTCTTAAGGTAAATTGAAGCTAGATATAAGACAGGGGTAAAACAAATAGTACATAACATATATTAGATATGATATTGATAGAGACAAAATGGAAACTGTGGAGATAGAAGTGGCTAAACAATTATATATAAAATGCTTTAGACAACATTTATTTGTGTTAGAAACCTATTTAGTTATTATTGGTACAAAATACAAATTTGGCCTGTTAAACTACCTCAAATTATATAGATTTGAAATAAGAATTACTTTTATTAGGTATTTTATTAGAGGATTTTGAGAACATTGTATAATATGAGAACAATATTATGATAGTAGTCAACATTATACACTAAAATACACACATGAGTGGTTCAAATGTTTTAAAAAAATGTATAGATTTTGAAGACAACCAAGACACCAAGATGCAAAAATAATTATAAGCAACCCATGTAACACGATGTTTAATAAGCACAAACTGAATGTAGATAGAATGAAAAACGAATACAAAGTTAAAAAAGAGTTGTGTAGAACAATCAGTGGCAATTTAGTGAATTAGCTTCTCCATAATTTCCACTGATTCAAGTGGCCCTACTCTAATTGTGATTTACTTTAGTAAGTCACAGCTAGAGTAGGCCTATTTGAATCAATGGAAATTACAGAGGAGTTGGCTCACTTAATGCCCACTGATTCAGTGGGCCTAGTCTACTGCAATTTACTACAATAAGCAAGAGAATTTTGGTCAGTATCTGCTTAACTTTTAGACCTATTTGTTTAAAGCATTTATATGTTACCCTATAACCCTATTTTTACAGGATGGTTATGGGATTATATTACCTATTCCTATTGCTGACACTCCCAAATTTTTATTTCATTAAGATTTTTGTATTTACTTTCGCAGTGAACTAGGAATCAAAACATTTTAGAATCATGAGATGCATAAAACCATTTATCATAAATCCGCATGGAGAAAGTATAAAAGCAAGACAGAAGAACGGTGTTACATCAGAACTAACATGTGAGGGGAGATAAATTCAGTCAAGATGTGATTTGCTATCATTTTGGCATATAAAAAGTAACTTTTACTGTTCAGAGAACAAAACAAATTGAAAGCACACAATAGATCATAGTTAAGCCTATGCAAAAATAATACAATCCAAACTGTATTTATATTCAGTCCTGTACAATTAAAATAATACACTGAATAGTCACAGCTCTTATGGCATATATACTCTTCTTTAGCTTCAGAAAAGGGTACAAAGATAATGTCCTTGCACATCTTCTGTAGTTTTATTTTGCAATTCATGGATGCTTTATTAATCAGTGCAAGATGCATTCATTGAACTGGATTAATCCTGCATAAATAATTTTTGAAATTTCCTGCTGAAGTTATTTTTCATTTCTGTGAACAAATAATTTATTTGGATTTTCATATGTCAGGGTCATAAAGATTTGCCAGAGTCAGATTTCAATTTTAGTTACATCTGAGTTGGTTTATATATTAGGGCACAGAGTTTTGCATGAGAGCCTCTTCTAAAATCTGTAATTGGTGTGGAACACTGACATGCACAGAATAAATCTGACAAGGTCCAAAGAGCTGAGTTCAGTTCCACTGATCAACATCTAGGCTGCAGATTAACTGAATCTTTTATGGCATTACAAGCACTTCAGAATTCATTACGGTAGCTTCCCCTCCCACTAACCACTCTGACCTCCAGTACTACTGTAGCTTCTTTGGTTGCCATGCAGTTGAACATCTGGAACAACAACAACCCCAAGTGACCCATTCTATGGCTTCTCTCATTTCCCCCCTCCCCTTTTCCTTCTACAGCAATTTAAAATATTCACAATTTCTGCCATCTCAGTTACAAGGAAAGACAGGGCTGGATTTTTAATTAATCTAAAAATAAGGTACAGTCTATACTTTGAAAGATTAGGTCTTCCTGCACAAATATGCCTATAAAGCCATTTAGGCCAAACAGCAGAAAGAAGGATTTGCATAACTGTCACTTTTAAAAACATGTCTGTATGATTAAAGAGGATTTTGGAAAAAAATCAATGTTGGGTTATTTAAAAATGTTATAAGCAGAGATTTGTCAGACAAATGTATTCGTACATAAGATTTTATTTAAAGTTCCCTCACCCCACAAGCAAGCTTCATTTACACTTTCTAGTACTGTACATAATTTACATTAATGGTGACTTGTATGGTTGTCTTGGTCATGCCATCCAGAAAGTTAGGAAGATTTACATATAATCCTCATAAATGAATTATCTTTGCATTGTTAAAAAAAGAGAGAACTTCTAAATGGGTAAGAACAGCCCTCCCCATCCCTTCCCATTAAAGTGGCATTTTAACAGCGGCATGTAACGATGTTTGGTGGTGAATATCATGTTCTCTCATTTCATGTTGTAACAGACTTCCTCTTCATATATTTTTATATACAGATATATTTCTACATACCCTCCTCCCCCACCCAAGTTATGATTGCACAAAGTATTATTTTACAAGGAATTCCTTTGATCTGAACAACAAAAATAAAGACAAAGCTAACAGAGGTGGGTGATTTACAAAAAAACAGGTTGAGTTTCCAGGATGTGCATTTCAATTTCATGAACTCCTTAGTAGGGATTTTGCTTGTCCCTCAACAGCTTGTTTGTTCCAGTAGAAAAGACTGAATCGCAAGTAATTTTGTTGAAGTTACAACAGCTTAGTTAGCATGAGCAAAATAACAGGATTTGTAGTAGTGGTAGTCACACTAATGATAATAACAATGGAGTAGTGACACAGTAAAATGACATCCAGTATATTAATCATTATATTAATTTTCCTTAGTAGTCACAGTCTTAATATACAATTTCTTCCCATATCTGTTTTATTTTCTTTTGGGCAACTATTACTTAAACCTTCTACCTACATGTATTTTGTGCCTTTGTTTCTCTGCTGTACTTCACAACTATAGAGATCTGTACACGTAACATTTGGAAAGCTGGATGTGATTCTACACTATTTTATTTTATCAATATAGATATAGCTTATTACAGCTTTCATACAGACTACAGGCTAGATCTTGCACAGAAGACTCTGGAAGGTCTCCACAGAACTCCCCATAGCAGTGTGGATTTACATAGGTTTAGAACATGTGTTTGAGCACATAGAAGTTTTAAAACATCACATGTGGCCTAGTCTGATGAAGTACTGAAGTGAGGCAGAGGCTTACATAAAGGTTGTAAAAGCTTTACTGCAGCTTCCACCAGTTCCTAACAGTAGGAAGAGGGGGGGGAAATCCAGTAACATGGAAATCTATCCCAGTCTTCTTAAACCAGTCTTCCTGCAGCTTGTACCATGCAAAAGGCCTGAGCTGGCTCTGAAATGAATGAGATAAAAGTAGGGCGATACAGTAGGGCTGCTGTATCCATGGGATCAGTACTTGGAATTTCATTTATCCACTGCCTGAAAAAAACCTAAACCCAAACCCAAAATGCACATTTCTCAGGCCTATTACCAGAAATGGCCACTAGAGGGAACCAGAGATTATGCTATATAGAGAATTTGCTAGATCCATGATTTTTGGTATCTGCAGTTGGTCAGGGGGCTTGGAACTGACCCCCCATGGACACCACAGTCCTACTGTATTTGCTTCTGCTAAGTATATGATCAGGTTATGATCCAGCAAAGCTGTTTTTCAGGAAATAGAAGAAAGGTGTAACATTATCTCAAGCCTTAATAAGCTTGGTTGAATCTATTAGTTGAAAGGAATCTGTTTTGTATAAAAAATCTGGCATGTACCTATGCCTGTTATGATAGATTTAACAGTTCTGGTGTAATAGGACCACTCTGAAATTGTCTATATAATATTGTTCCCTCTAATAATTACAGTACATGCTGGCAAACTGCTGGAAAATACTAATAAGACAGTACCTAAAATGGACCCAGTGAGAAACAAAAGCAAAGTATTAGAGGAGCCCAGAGATTTACAGCAATACCAAACAATTTTGGCAAAGAAAACCTAATGCTTCCCCCCCCCCAAAAAATCTAACAGAATACTTAATATAAAGCATACTCAGCAGTCACAGAATGCTGAATCTATATTAACGGTAGGAAAGAGAAAATAGGATGTGGGGACTGAATGAGGTTTTTTTTTTTGGAAGAGGGCATGGTTGGCTGGCCAGAATCCTGAACAGAAGCCACCCAGCAATGTTTTGTTACAGGTCCCACTTATTCATGCCAAGTGTCAAGTTTGAGGTTGAAGTGATGATGACACAAAAACTTGCCCTGTACCAGAGCAATTCTGCTTAAAAAATAATAATGTTGTTACACCAGATCCATAGCCGGGCAAACTGCTACCAAACCTGAGTGTCGGAAAAAAAAAGGAAGAACTCGTTTCAGGTTCAGTACTACTTCAGAGCTCAAAACCACAGCTTAGTGGTAGAGCACACACTGTGAGTGCAGGAGATCCCAGGTTCAATCCTTGGAATCTTCAGGTACAGCTGAGGAGTTGTTCTGTCTGAAACCCTGGACAGCCACACTCAGTCCTCTAGACAATACTTGTCTGACTTTCTAGAAAGACAACTTTGCATATGTTGTATGCTCCAGGCAGAGCATAGACAAAGATTGGGATCTCTCCTGGCCACACCCTGAACTCACCTCACTGATCTAAAATGTCCTTATTATGACAAGCTGGAAGCTGTTCCAGTTGTGGAGTACTTTTCACACACTTGTGGGGGGAAAAATACAATTTATGAAGGGACAGGCAGTCCATTTTTCAAAAGAAGGGGGCAAAACTACTGAACCTAAATTTGATTTATTGGTTTGTGCTTCTGTTTCTCAATTTGCAAAGTTAAAAAAAAATCAAGGACATCACCTGGTTCAGGGATCACATTTTTGTATGTCTTCATCTTAGATGTCACCACATTGGAATAGATATGTCTATGAGAATTTAATTATACTTAGGTGTCACTGGTTCTGACTTACAGTGAGTGACCTTCACAGGGGTTTCTAGGTATAAATTACCAAAGGTGGTTTACCAGTTCCTCTTCTGGTGATGCTCTGGGATTGTGCAGCTTGTACAGGGCCAAACAGCTGCCAAGGTATTTATCTCCATCAACCACAAATATTCTGTATGATCTCGGCTAGTCGCTCTCACAGGAGTGCCAGTGGGTATATGAACCTCTGCACTCTGACTCCATTGCTAAGTGCTCCAGTCCACTGATTTATATCAACTCTGCTATGAGAATTTAGTCCAACTGAAATTAGCTTGCTGTAGATCAGGCTAAATGTAATATTATTGTGCACAGATGTAAATATTCTAAGGTGGTATGGTTAAACTTAATGCACAATTGTTAACAGAATGAAAAGCACAGCAAAAGTTCTGAATTTTTCATTGACTTGCACCCTCATGTGTTATACAGTAGGACCCAACAAGTATTCATAGCATGGTTTCTGTCACCATCTAGTGACTGGTTCTGGTAACAGGTGTGAAAATTGTTTTGTTTTTTTTAGATGTTTTCTTTTAATATTTTCAGACCATGGGTAAGTGAATCAATGAATACTGATACTGTGGATAAGGGGGTCCAACTGTATTATGTGACAAGAGTTAAGGTATGTCTGGGAGATTCACTGATATGCTTGCATTACACAGACTAATGTCTATGAAGTGAGCTAAAGCAACATTAAATGTATGGACATGTAACTGAACTTGAATAGAACTTGAAAAAAAAAAGAATAAATAACTTCCAGAGGGAGCATTGCAATGTAAAAATGTGTGATAATTCTTTCTGCAACCACTTGTTTTGTTTTGTTCTTCCATATTTTCCTTTGTTACATTTCCCCCTCCAAGGTTTCACATACATGTTGGTTCTCATTCTCATTTCTATTTTCTTTTTAGCCACCCAGGCTGTTACATGTCAATGAAGATATAGGTCTGTATTTCTTTTAATCCAAAGATACAAAGCTACAAGTATTTGTAAGTAAACAAGATCAAAGAATTATAGTTGTTTGTGAATAGCACATGATCCAAATCTTACAAAAGCATTACTAAACTTGAAGCCTGCCCTCTTGTCTTTACAGACAGGCAGGAAAAAAGAAATCTAACTGATTAAATCACTGGAATATTATACATGTGATGTTTTAAATAGATGCTGCTAGTTGTAAATTAATTACAGGAGCAATACAAAGCTTAACCAAATGTCTTTAAAGGCCAAAAAGTTTTATTAATTATAGAGAGAAATAAAGTCAGATTCTGTGGACTTCAGGAATAATGATTCTGGATCTGCACTGGTGCAAATAAGAGCAGTGACTGGCAATTTCACAAATAATTTTGAAAAATTCCCCTTATTTACTATACATAAGCATAGGAATTTAAGAGCACGATGCACAAGGGGCCACTTCGGTGAAACAGGAGGTTTATTATGACATTACCTCTTATGATTTTCCTTTTCATTTTGTGCTGTTCGCAGAACATGAAAGCACACACAGATTTGAGTTAAAATGGAAGTGACAATTTTGCAATTCAATTCTTTTCATTATCATAATTTTGAATTACTCATGAACATAATCATCATGATTTCAGTAGAGATCCCATGCAGGTAAAATACAAAGCACAATAATAATCTTGTTTATCCAGGCAGTATTTGGATGTTTAGCATTCTTTTCCCCCCTTTTTCCTTTGCTTTAAATTTAGAATCAATATAAGGATCTTTAGAAGGGAAAAGTTACGATCAACCTGAAATGGCTGTCTGTCAATGTGCGCAATATTCCATGGGTCCAAATTTGTCCAACAACATACTAGTCTGTGTGAGTCAGGAGCTACATTTAGTTTGGTTTTCAAATAATAAATGTCAGGGTAGGGGTAGGATCTTTTTGTATGTAGCATTAGGAACTTGGTTCTGTAAAACATTTATACCACCTATGATAGCTTCCCATAATGGAGCAGTGTCCTTCTCAGTATTTCCAGGATGTTATTTATTATATGGCACACATGCAGGTAGTATGACCGTGGAGCAAGCAGGGCCTGCAAGTGGCTCAGCTACATCTCCTTCGAGTTCTGTCCAGGTTCCTTTCTCAGGACTGTAACAAATAGTAGAAGATTTGTAGGCCCCCTGTAATACAACAGAATCTTGTTGAACTAGTCAGTAAGTAACATCCTGAGGAAAATATCTTGATATCTTCAAATGGAAAAGAATTAATCCTCAATCCTTCATGGAACTGGAATATATTCACCCTCCTTACACAAATGTGCACTGAAGCTATCAATGTTCTGAAACAACTTCCTATATTTAAAACAACTCAAAGACAAAGGCTTTTAGAAAGCAGAGTTTGGAGCAGGCAAATAGAGAGGCAAAGGAAACCTGAATACCTGACAATCACTAGGTAAGGGGGTCTGGATCCTGAAAGTAAGCATTGATAACAAACAAACAAACAAACAAACAAAGCCTGACAATCACTAGGTAAGGGGGTCTGGGTCCTGAAAGTAAGCATTGATAACAAAAACAAACAAACAAAAAACCAGGCACCACTGTTTTTTTTTCTCCTGCAAGAGGTCAACAGCACAGGCACCACTGTTTTTTTTTTCTCCTGCAAGAGGTCAACAGCAACGGTGGTGACTACTTCATATCCTCAAGAGTGAGCAATGGGCCACTCCAAAATACTGAGACATTGGGAGCTGCCTGATGAAGTCAACCTGAGAGTGGCTATGGTACTCTCTGGTATCTCTCCTGTCCATATCTTAGGGATATATGCTACCACTGGAAGGGGAAATATTCCACCTTCTCAATTGAGACAATTCTGAAAATGATTTTTTAGAATAGATAATGAATACAACAATGCAGTAACTCAAACTTTTTTGAATACAGTGGTGCCTCACTTGACGACATTAATTCGTTCCAGCGAAATCACTGTAGAGTGAAAATATTGTCAAACGAAACTAAAAAATGCATTGAAACACACTGAAAACCCAAAGCAGATCTGACAGATGGCTGTCCAACTTTCTCTTGAATACCTTCAACTTTGTAGCGCTGATCACCTCCTGGGGTAATTGGTTCTATTGCTGTACTGCTCCAACAGAACATGGGTGTGATCTTTATCATAGTTTGATCCTGAGTCCTAGATTTCATAATCATTATAGTGAAATCTTTAAAATAATTATTACTAATTTTTGAAAGCATATTACAGTACAACTAACCAGAAACTTTCCATATGTTTTTTTTTAAAAAGACAGCTATGTGCTTAAATGCCTCTTTTTCCTGAACAAGGTGGTCATGGTGCACAATCCATTGATGGCTACAGCAACCATTTTTGGACAACAAATACATACCATACTCCAGCTGTAGCCTCCTACTAGGTAAATGCTGTCATCAAGAACAGCACATCCAGGTCCACTGCGGCCCTCTAAAATAGGAGTCTGCAAAATATTCCACTGATCACCTTTTGGGTCATAGCATTCCACAAGCATGACATCAAGGTGTGAAAAACCTGCAGCACACATGCATAAAATAATTTTAATCCACTTTTTAGAAGACAATGCCTACAGTCATTATTAAAAGTACTATGTCATTTTTTATTAAAAAATCAGATTAATTAAAGGAATGTCGTCTTTTAAAACTAAACTGTAAGATCTAAGGACAAACTTGTTTAAATAGGAAACTGCAATACTCACTTTTTCCGTTTCTCCCGTTGGAGAAAACTATCTCCAATACTGTAGGAGAGCTGCAGTATTGGAGATAGTTTTCTCCCTTCCCAACTGCATCAATTCCTGAAAATACCCCCATTGCTACAATTGAGCTTTTAAAAGCCTCCACTGCCTCCAGTGGAGACTTTTAAACAACTTAATTGTAGTGTTTTTTTAAGGTGTATACTGGAAAGGGCTCTCTCTTCCTTCTCCAGCATCAATCACCCCTAAAATTTGCCTCTTATATGGAAAACATTTTTTTTAAAAATCCTCTATTGATAGCAAAGGGGGTGTTGTTCACTGCAGTGAGAGACAGAATATCAGAAACCAATCTCTTCAACCACTGGACAGCAATGATGGGAAGTAGGAGGCTGCCCGGCTGAGAGGGGAACCCCTCAGGCTCTGTGAGGCAGAGGTTCCCCAGACTTGCTAGTCCCTCTGATCTCTTTCTTGTGGATCCATTATTTTGATATAAAAGGAATGCCTTCATGAGAATGGCAAACAGCATGTCATTTCTCCCAAAAATAAGTTGTAAAAAACATAATCTAGCTAATCAAGTTTCTTTTCTGCATAAAATGAAATGGAATGCACTGAAATAAATAGGGAGAAACTAAAAAGCATACATTCTTAAAGCCATCACAATACAGCTTAGATTTGCATTCCAGAAATTGTGTTTGATGATGGCTTTATTTTAGCTTACTTTTAATTTAACATGACCATATTTGTGTTTTTAAGACTCTAATACACAGTACTCACCAGACAGCATAGCCAGATAGCATGACACATTTCTCCTTTTGACAATAAACAGGCCAATAATTCTAAGATTATCTGTCTTATTTATTTATCTATTTGCTCACTTGCTCGCTCACTTATGTCATTAACCCTCTTCAGGAAAGTAGTTTTCCAGAGCAACATTGATCATATAATAATTACAATCTGCACTTATAGATCACCTCAAGAAATCTTCACCCAGCCCCTTTCTCCAGCAAATTCACAGGAGGGGTCTTAAACCCTGAAGAGCAGCAGCACAGAGAAAACTAGATTGAAAGGTCATTTTGTTTCCTATCACCACACGTCAGCAGAACTGTCTCAGTCCTATGCCTGCTAAAAGTAATGTTGCGCTTACTGTGAGACATCCCTTTTGTGTGTGTGGGGGGGGAAGGAGATCCTTGCAATTTGTTATCCCTCCTACTCACTTTGATAGGCAGGAGATGACAACCAATCTTTTTTGAGCTGCCTGCTCCCTCTAGTGGTGAGGATAATCAGAAGCTTCAGTCCTATCTCCAAGCCTCTTCTTGAGAACAAATGAACAGGACATGGAATAGATAACAGCGGAATAGAGAATGTTGCATCAGAAGGATAGTTACCCCTCCCTTCTCCTTAGGACTCAGCTCAGCCACCAAACCCCAACAGCGTCTGGTAGTGATCAGCCTCGGTGGGGAAAGATGTCCTTCCCCTACAGAAAAGGATCAGCACAAGGTAAGTGCCAATGTTATATTTTCCTATATGGGAAGAAGGACATTCTTGTAGTAGCAACTTACCCAAGCCAACAGTCCCGGGGGGTGAAGCAGCCTAGTCAAGGTCCCTGTCCATGGCTAAACACCCCACCCCCACACTGTGGAACCACCCAAGGGATGCCTCTGCATAGGCAAAATGGTTTAGCCTAGGAGCCTTGTGACACAGTGGTTAACCTGGAGTACTGCAGCCAAGACTCTGCTCATGATCTGAGTTCGATCCCAGGCTCAGATAGCTGGCTCAAAGTTGACTTTCCCTTCCATCCTTCCAAGGTTGGTAAATTGAGTACCTAGCTTGCCGGTGGGGAGGTGGGTGGGATGTGTAGCCTGGATAATTTAAATTGTATATCATCCGGAGAGTGCTTTAAACACTATGGGGCAGTATATAAGCAGCGGACTTTGCTTTCCCCCTTACAAATGAAGACTGAACCCTCAAAGTAGCCTCCCTTACAAAGGTCCAGGAGAGAGGCCCGAGTACCAAAGGCTGCCTAAGTTGCTGTACTTCAAGCAGAGTATGCAGTTAAAACAGATGGCATTGTCTTTCCAGAGTTCATATAGCAAGCCACTATGCACTTCCTTTTCCATATTTCTAGGCTGAAATGAAACAGAGAATCAGAAAATCCAAAAGCTCCAGCTCTTTTTAGGGAAATCTTAATAACCATCCAGATGTTCAAGATATGACATTCTTTTTCTAAAGGAGTGTATGGGTTTGGACAGAAGGAAATTAGGCCTGGTGGAAGAGATGCAATTTACTTTCAGAACAAACGAGGGATCCACTTGGAGTATTGTTGACTCTGGATTATGCCTAAATCTGGCCTGCCTGAAAGAGCACCAAATTCAGAAACCCACCTAGCAAAGGTAATTGTGGTCAAGAACAGAACCTTTTCTGAAAAATGCTCTAAGGACACCTTCCTTAGTAGTTCAAAAAGATTCCTTTCTAAGGGCTTTGAGGACAATGTTAAGATTCTAGGAAGGAAACCTGTGAAGGACAGGGGCATCTTTTAGATATACACCCCAAAGAAATCTCTTGATGTCCTTATGCATGTATATGGAACTGGCTTTTCAAGATTGTAATATTGCTACCCATTTCTTTACGGTACTAGAAGTGAGACCACTGTCCACGACCTCCTGTAGAAAATCTGAAATATCAGAAATCAAGGATTTCTGTGTCTGTCTGCCTTTACTACTGTACCAGCCAGAGAAGGCCTTGAATGTGACCCCATAAATTTTATTGCAAGATTCCTGGCAGGATGCTAACATAGTCAAGACATAGCCAAGACCATTTATTCCAACTAGCCCTTGCTTGGGTGGAATAGCTAGAAATGAAGCTGTAGCCATTCTGGGGCTGAGGGGAAAGACTGCCCCCCCCCAACTGAGAAGGTCCCTGGGAATTTTAACTTGCTGAGACTTAGCTCTACTGAAGTGGGAAATGAAGCCCATCTTGGCCAGCAAGGAGCTATTAGTCTGACCTTGTGCCCATTTGCCTTTACCCTTTGAAGCACCATTCTTATCAGAGCTATGAGAAGTAAGGCATACAACAGACTGCTGATGGGACACATAGACTCCTCTAAGCAGGCTGCAGCAATGGGAGTGGGATGGAAGGGGTGTATCCAGACTGCATCCTAAACAAGCCCTGGGTATTTTCTGGATTGGAAGTGGCAGGACAGGTTTCTTCCATCTGCCTGCTTACTCTGCTATTGATCCAGGAGTGGAACTAGATGCAAGGCATATTTCCCTCTACGGTCACTGTGGTGATAAGGAAGCCTGACATCAAGTATTCACCCCTGCTGGGTCTTCAAATCTCTCCTCAGGCCCTGTTGGGACATCAAGAAACACATAGGGTAGACCTGCTATGCGAGCCCTCTCCTTGCACAGGGAGAAATGGCTCCCATTCCCTCTTGGGTGGCAGACCAAGGCTCTGCCTCTGGTTCAACCACTTGATGCCTTGTGGGGGGGTCAGCAAATCTGCTGAGAACCCCTGGCTGTCCTTCTGGTCTGACATGATGGCTGAGAAGATAAACAGACAAGGAACAGAGAGAGGAAGAACTGATAATGAAAATAGAAGCTAAAATATTTTTTTCAATAGGCAAAGGAAAGAGGTGAGTGAAGGAGACAAGGATTACGTTTCCTATACTGGTAGGTAGGAATGTGTCTGGAGCTCCAAGTTGTCCTCACCACTAGAGGGAGCTGGCAGTTCAAAAAAGATTGGTCATCAGCTCTTGCTTACCAGTATGAGTGGAAGGGACAAACTATTGCAAGGATCTCCCTCTCTCCCTGTAGGAAGTAAGTCTGAAAAAAAACTATAAGGAATAGTTATATTAGTAATATTTGTGAGCAGTGGTTATGGGCAAGATGGTAGTTTCACCTGCAAAATCCTATGCACGCCTACTCAGAAATAAATTAATCTTATCTAATTAAAATAAAGTTATTTTGAGATTTATTGTAAGTTCATGGAATTTCTTGTTGATGCTATTGTTTTGTTCTACCATATTTGATTTGTTGAGTTACTATGGTAAGGTCTGAATGCTGATCAATCACTTCATTTTATTCAACCATTCATTCAGCTCCCCATGAGTCTAATTCAACAGGAGCCTGCAGTCTGATACTTTTGACCTTAAACAGGCAGAGCAGTGCAGTGTAGTTGTTAAGTGTGCTGGCCTAGGACTTAGGAGACACGGATTTGGACCCCTATTCAACCATGAAGCTAACAACTGCACAGCCTTGAGTCAGTCAGTCTCAGTTTGACCTGCCTCACTAGCTTTTTGGCAGGATAGAAATGTTATAAATAAATAAAAATAGCAAGTGTTTCTCTGCAGATCCCTAATACAGCTTCTTCTGCAACTGCATAATTCGGACTAATGATTTATGGAGGCAAATACTGCTGGCAATTTGGGTCAAAAATAATCTGTTTGTTACAATGAATTTATAGTGATGACAAATCATCCATGCTTCTGAGTAATGGATGTTCCTATTTTTTATTATCTAAAGCATTCATTACTCATTTATTTAATATACTGTTATAATTTTTTTAAAGCTAGCTCAAGCATCAGGGCAGCAGGGTTTTTAACTTGGTTAACTATGACTAATCCAACAAAAACTGTTTCTATCAAAAGCCAGGATGTTACGTTATTTTGCTAATAAAAATGTGACCTTTCAGATGATTTCCTCCAATTGCATACAGTCGATCATTCATTACAGCCAATGTATGGATAGCTCTCTTTGTGTTCATGTCTTGTTTTCTAGCCCAGACATCCATTACGGGGTCGTAGCAGTACAGCCAAGGGACATATTCACCATTGTGGACACCTCCTGCAAATCAAATACATTTTAATTAGTTCAACTGAGGGCGCATCCTTGAAAAGGAGAATTTGGTATACAGGGATTGTTGTGAGACCAAGGAGAATTTAGGAAACTTACCTGAAATATAAATTTTGCCATTATGTACCGCTCCTGCATGTGCTGCCAAGGGCTGTGGTAGGGAAGATACATAGCGCCATTCATTTGTCTCTAAATTATAGCATTCCACACTTGACAAGTAGCCAGTTTCATTTCTCCCACCAATCACATACAAATTTTTGTCAAGCCGACAAGCATAAAAGCTGGCTCTCCTACAGCAAAAAACAAATGTGGTTAATTCATAGTAACTAGAATTGGTTTTATTTTTCTGTCTAACAGAATAAACCAGCTGCTGTACTAACAGCATTCACTCATTTATTCTTGACAATATAGATTATTTTCAATTTTTGCATTCCTATCCTTCTCTCAATGTTGCTATCTGAATGTTCAAAAATTGCTAATTTGTAATGACAGGTCTTTCTGATGCAATTCCTTGGTTGGAAAAGTTTTTTAAGAGGTAGTAGTCCCCCCCCCGCTCCCTGTTTCAGCAACAAAAGTAAAATGAAAACAAAGAAAAGTCATCAGGCATCTTTTAGAGAGACTAACAAATTTTTTTCAGCATGAGTCTTTGTGGATGATAATCCAGTTGACATGTACTGGAATAAGTGAGTTGACATACATGAAATCTCACACTGAAATAAATTCACTACTTTTAAAGGCTATTTTTATATTGTTGTTAGTAAGGAAGGGGACTGTTAGGAAAGGATTAAAAATAAAAAACCTAGTATCACAATGCCCCCATTTATACACATCGGCAATACAACCCTACTGTGTACAACTCTGGTTACCACAACTACAAGAGGATACAGGACAAACAAAAGATGCCAAGATAGGCTACCAAATGTTTAGGACTATTGTTGGGGCATTTCAGTTAAGGAAAAAAAAGAGTAACAAGAGTAGAGACATGATAAAGGTTTATTGATCATGGTGTAAAGGAAGGAGATAATGAAATAATTTTCTTTCATTTAATACTAGACTCATCCTATGCAGATTCAAGACAGTCAAAAGGAAGTACTTCACACAGTATGTGTACACACAAACACACACACACACACACACACAACACACACACACACACACACACCACCCTTCTCCTTAAAAGAGAATGGTTCCATTTTCTGACAAATTGCAAGGGTGCCAATATATTTGGCCATGACTGTAGGTCTATGCTTTATAGACAGTGCCTATATTTATGAGGTATTAGAGGATATGTCCATGCTTTACAGCAAACCATTTCTCTGTGTGGATCAAGGGAAGGAATGGCTTGTTCTGAAAGAAATGGGTGTGCCTCAGCACTTGATTGTCCTGATGCATAATCTGTACTGTAAACAATAAGCTAGTCATAGGACAGAATATGGAGAGACAGAATGAGTTCCTATAGGCAAAGGCATTGGACAAAGGTGCATTTTATCTTGTTTTTTGTTCAGTTTGTACATAGAATGTATAGTAAGGAAATCTGGATTAGATTCAGATGAAGGAGGAGTGAATATTAGTTGAAGAAACATCAATAATTTAAGATATGCAGATGACAGTCTTACTGGCAGAAAGCAGCAATCACTTGAAACTGACTTCTTGTGAAAGTGCAAGAAACAATTGCCAAAGCAGGACTGTAGTTGAATATTAAGAAAACAAAAATCTTGACTTTAGAGAAACTGCATAACTTTAATGTTGACAATGAAATTGTTAAAGAGTTTGTATCGTCGTCGTTTAGTCGTTTAGACGTGTCCGACTCTTCGTGACCCCATGGACCAGAGCACTCCAGGCCCTCCTATCTTCCACTGCCTCCCAGAGTTGTGTCAAATTCATGTTAGTTGCTTTGATGACACTGTCCAACCATCTCATCCTCTGTCGTACCCTTCTCCTCTTGCCTTCACACTTTCCCAACATCAAGGTCTTTTCCAAGGAGTCTTCTCTTCTCATGAGATGGCCAAAGTACTGGAGCCTCAGCTTCAGGATCTGTCCTTCCAGTGAGCACTCAGGGTTGATTTCCTTTAGAATTGATAGGTTTGTTCTCCTTGCAGTCCAGGGGACTCTCAAGAGCCTCCTCCAGCACCACAATTCAAAGGCATCAATTCTTCAGTGGTCAGCTTTCTTTATGGTCCAGCTCTCACTTCCATACATCACGACAGGAAAAACCATAGCTTTGACTTTTCAGACTTTTTTTGGCAAGGTGATGTCTCTGCTTTTTAAGATGCTGTCTAGGTTTGTCATCGCTTTCCTCTCAAGAAGCACGCATGTTTTAATTTCGTGCCTGCTGTCTTCATCTGCAGTGATCATGGACACCAAGAAAGTAAAATCTGTCACTGCCTCCATATCTTCCTCTTCTATTTCCCAGGAGGTTGTTGTGGCCATGATCTTAGTTTTTTTGATGTTGAGTTTCAGACCGTTTTTTGCACTCTCCTCTTTCACCCTCATTACAAGGTTCTTTAGTTCCTCCCCACTTTCTGCCATCAGCGTGGTATCATCTGCATATCGGAGGTTGTTGATATTTCTTCCGGCAATCTTAATTCCAGTTTTTGATTCCTCCAGTCCAGCCTTCCGCATGATGTATTCTGCATATAAGTTAAATAAGCCAGGGGACAATATACAGCCTTGTTGTACTCCTTTCCCAATTTTGAACCACTCAGTTGTTCCATGACCAGTTCTAACTGTTGCTTCCTGTCCCACGTATAGGTTTCTCAGGAGACAGATAAGGTGGTCAGGCACTTCCATTTCTTTAAGGACTTGCCATAGTTTGCTGTGGTCCAAACAGTCAAAGTCTTTTGCATAGTCAATGAAAGGTTTGTATACCTTAGTTCAATCATACATCCAAAGGGAGACTGCAGCCAAAAAATCAGAAGAAGACTGACACTGAAAAGGGAAGCAATGAAGGAATTTAGAAAAGATCATAAAGTGGAAGGGTGTGTCACCAGAGACCATGGCCAAGGTCATTCAGACTATTGTATTCCTGATTCCTGTGTATGAGTTTGAAAGCTGGACATTTTGTATACCTTAGTTCAATCATACATCCAAAGGGAGACTGCAGCCAAAAAATCAGAAGAAGACTGACACTGAAAAGGGAAGCAATGAAGGAATTTAGAAAAGATCATAAAGTGGAAGGGTGTGTCACCAGAGACCATGGCCAAGGTCATTCAGACTATTGTATTCCTGATTCCTGTGTATGAGTTTGAAAGCTGGACATCGAAGAAAGCTGATGGGAAAAAAATTGATGTCTTTAAAATACGATGCTGCTGGAAAGCTTTCAGATACCCTGGACTGCCAGATAAAAGAACAAGTGGCTCCTAGATCAGATCAAGCTTGAACTATTTCTGGAGGCAAAAATGACAAAACTGAATCTGTCAAACTTTAGCACAAGCCAAGATTCACAGGAAAAGGCAATAATGAAAGGCAAGAAAGGCAAGAAAATTTGAAGAGCGCAGGAAAACAAGAAGACTGTTGAGAACAGGACATTGTGGAGGTCACTCATTCATAGGCCCACCATAAATTGGAGGCAACTTGATGGCACATAACAACAACAAATAGGCTCATTAAATAGGTCAGGAGGAACACCTCAAGGCTCAAATGTCGTGCTTCACACTGTGTTCTGTGTATTGAGGTGATGAGGAGCAAAAAAGGAGAAGACTGCTTGCAAAATCTAGATGACTTAAAAAGTAAATAAAAATACAACTACTCTAGGTAATTTTGAGAAAGGCAATAGAGTTACTTTAAAAATGTTTAAAGAGCAGCTAAGTATTCTTGAGTGGTATGCTTACCTATCTTACTTTTGGCACGTCATGAGAAGCCAGGATTCTCTGGAAAAGACAATAATGCTGGGATAGGTGGAAGGCAGCAGGAAAAGAGGAAGACTAAATATGAGATGGACTGACTCTCAAAAAGAGGGTGACAGGCTTGTCTGCAAGAGCTGATCAGGATGGCTGAGAACAGGACATTTTGGAGAGTACTCATTCATAGGATTGCCATGAGTCAGAAGTGACTTGATGGGACACAACAACAGCAATGCCTGGAAATGTAAGTGTGGTAATTATTTTTTACACAGTCAACATACCATGTTCTGGTCAAAAGATACTAATTTAGATAGATCTTTCACAGTCATATTCTTAGTAGTAAGAACTGTATCTTTAGATACAAACTAACAAAGCACTATTGTTCTGCTTTGGAGATATGTGGAGGCATACACTTCCTATACAGAAGAATAAGGTAGATGAGGTCTCTCAGTAAGAATGAGTGATTATCCATTGCAGGGAGGTCTGGTACTATGAATACTGAAACTAGCAGTGTTAGGGAAAAGAACACCTAGATAACTATGTTCTTTTCTTGTTGTCTGGAATTACCTTTCTCATGGATAAACAGAAATTTCTAGTTGTCTACTATAGAAAGCTAGGTAAACTGGCAAAGGCTGACACATTCTGTTTCCCAAATGAATGTTCTGTATGAGAAATGCACTTACAAGATACCTGCTATTGTGCAAAAAGTCTTGTGTGATGGCATTTCACTGAAGACTACTGTGAAGAAGCTTGCTGTGATACTTGAGACACATCTTTCCTAGTGTGAATGCTATGAGAGTCGTCCCCCTCTGTAATGTCTCCAAGGATTCTGGCGTAGATCTCATGGATCATGCACTATACCTGCTACATCTGCTAGCTATTAATGTGCTTTCTCAGGCAACTGCTTATCAGAGCTGTTTGATCAGATCAAGTGAGATTTACTTAGGTATATATGGGAAGTGCATACCTGGGAAGCTCCTATAAGAAACATATGCTTTACTCTCTTTAATGTTAGTGCTACTGAAGCGGAAGGGAACCGAACATCTCCTGCCACTGGAACCCACATGTGTCCACCAGATCAGCTAGCAAGTTGGGTGTGTGTGACTGGACTGTGAAACCACTGTCTTCTGAGTGTTCCTGTGTGATCCTCTGAAAAGAATAACATCTTTGTAGTGGTGCCAATTGACATGAACACATCATGGAAGGTAAAACTTTACCTTAGAAGTGGTGACCTGAATGTACTGAATGTTCATTTAAACAGAAACCATTAATGTTTGGGGCATTTGGTACAGAAGGATATAACAATTCAGTAAGATGGACGTTCATTTAAAAAGAAATCATTAATGTTTGGGGCATTTGGTACTACAGAAGGATATAACAATTCAGTAAGATGAAGTAAGGAAAAAGGATAGATAATGTAACAATAATAAATTATCGTGACATTCACT